CGGGAAACGGCACAACACCGCCACCATTCCGCAGCTCGCTAATAAACATGCCGCCGCGCCGCGGACACCCTCTACAACACAGTGACATAGTATGACATATCATTTAAAAAAAATTAAACCAGAAAATCGAAACACCAAGCTGTTTAACCCAAAAAAATTCAAGATGCAAAAAAGAAATATAACAATAACAAAAAAAGATACCCTAAATTAATTTTTTTTAGCTATTTAAGATATACCTGCACTTTTACTTTAAATCAAAAATAATAAAAAAGATTGGTGTCATTTATTACATTTTTAAAAATTAAATAAATTACACTTAAAAAGTAAATAAAACTGTGAATTTATAAACTATCGCCATGTTATAACAAACGAGTCTGTATTCTACATTAATTATTGGACTAACAGATTTTAGTTATCAGCAACGCTAAAAAATCATGTTGGCGAATTTTTTTTTTTCGATGTTTCATATAAACACTCCAATTTTAATAATTGTATAGACTAGTGGTCGCCCGTAGCTTCGTCAGCGCAGAGTAAAAAAAAGTAGCCTGTAATCTTCCACGCACATCAGCTAACTTTCCCTCAAAGTTCCGCCTAAATCACTGCAGCCGTTCCGGAAATTTCCCAGAATAAACGCTGTTAGCAGTTTATAACAATTTTTTTAACATTACAATTTACTAACGCCCAAATATTGAATCAATTCTTAACAAAACGTAAAAAAAGGCGTTACTATCTTATTGATATTTAAAGACCGTTCTCATAATATATTGTGTGAAAAAAGTGCTAAATAAACATTCCGCTTAATAATGTTTATTAAATGAAGACAGGTTAAGTTTATTTAAAAAATAAACATGCAATTATTGTAACGTAAATAGCCGTCGTCCGTGACCCCATCCGAGTAGAAGATTAATTTTAGAAAAAGCCGCCATCGTTATTTTAACTCGTAATATTATTTGTATTGTAATGTAAATTAATTTGTATTTATATTAATATTTTATTTTTTCTGGCTTTACCTTGATGTGCAGCATATGCCTAATCATATACGAGTAATATCAACACATATAATATTACAATTATACATACATAATCTTACTAATATTATAAATACGAAAGTTTATTTGGATGGATATATGTTAAAGTTTGCCGCCTAAACGGCAAAATTTGGTTTGGATGTAGAACATAGTTAGGAAGAACACTTAGGTTACTTATTTTTGTTTTTTGTTAATTCCTCTCGGACGCGGAACTCTCGGGCGAAAGCTAGTGTGAGATATTTATAGGTACATATTATAATTTCACAGCCCACAATTTTGGTGACAAAATTTGATAAATCATCCATCTTTAGTTCCTTTTCCTTTCTTATAAGAAAAATATTGGAAGGGAACATGGGTTTAACCGTGGAGTAGACGCATTGGAAGGGGAAACATCCTTTTTGTGTGCGTCTCATACTTTTCGCAGATTAGGGGTAGGCAACGCATCCGCTATTGCGAATGTCTATGGGCAGCGGTCGCTTCGCCATTTCGGCGGATTCAGGTCGCCACTTGCTCGTTTGCCACGTTATGATTTTAAAAAAAGGCTCGAAATACGTAATTAAAACATTTGTACATGAAAACACTTATGTCAATTGACTGGTAATTCAGCAGAATTACTTGTAATCAAAGTAGCAAATTTACGCCCTTTGTATAAAAGAAAACGTAAAGATTCGATACACTTGCATCGCAAGTATCGCGTAGCGCGAGATACTAACTTACGACGTTAAACTGTTGACGCAAATTATCTATTCCCTCAAGGTATGTGAATACACGGCTGACGGGTATTTACTAAATGTCAATTGTGTACACTAACTCGGCTATCTTCAAATTCTCACTCCAATCTTAACAAATTGGTAGCGAGGGACCGGGTTTGCTGATGGTAGAACAAAATGTCGTTGACGTGTGCTTGTATTTCGTAAATGTTTCGATGATTTACGTTGCGTTATGTACGAAGGGCCTTAGGTTTTTAGAATTAAAAACAATTATATGATTATGTTTAATAACAATAGAGAATTTATTTCGTAAATAATTTCTTAGCGCTCACGTACATTTTAATAGAATTCATAAATATGATCAATATTGGCAATAGGTACTTAAAGCCATTTTTTTTAATAATCAAAAGAAACCCTAAATGCAAATGCATGTTGTTAAATTTCATTGATTTGTTGACAATGTGAACTGTGATACAATGAGAAAATCTTGTATTACGAGTAATACACGTTTTTAGTAATACACGACAAAAAATATTTTCGATAACATACGAGTAAACTGATCATCACATCGCGCGGAATACAACTAAAACTATTCAAATCCAGAAGGAGCTTATTACAATATTTTGAAGTTTCTAGAATTATGTAAATTATAATACAAATTCTGAGAAACGTCTCGGCATGTGAAACTTGACACAGAGATACCGTACAGAAAAAATACCGGTGAAAAGTGTTGTTCTTTATACCTCGTATATATGTATTTTAAATCATACTAATATTATAAATGCGAAAGTTTAGATGAATAGATGGATGGATGTTTGTTAGATTTTGTAGCCTAAACAGCTGAACGCATTTCGATGAAATTTGGCATATGTAGATGTAGAGGATAGTCTGGAAGAACACATAGGCTACTCACTTTTGTTTTCATTTAATTCCACGCGGACGGAGTCGCGGGCAAAAGCTAGTGTATGATAAAAGTCTAAATACACTTTAAATTTATCCTAATGTGCCTGAAATGTTACGGTTAAAACAGTTAAAGCAATTGTATTTTCACCTGCCGGCGAACACAACTTCTTCCACGTGAAAAATAGTTTATCATAAAACCCGAAAGGGAATACTCACTTCTTTGTATTGCAACGTATTTTTGTAAATTATTAAGTATTTCTGATTAAAAAATAATGTGAATTCATAAAAACGTTCACGTTCTACTTCAAACTTTTAGGACATAACTTTCATAAAATCCTTTTTTTGTGCTCGCCAATGTTCAGACGAGATCACGGTAGTGACGGGTGCGGGATGGCAGGACTCGGCGAAGGAGAGCACGGCTTTTACCCATCAGGGATGTTTATGGGCAGAGGTCGCTTTCCATTTCGGTGGATTCAGGTGGCCGCTTGCTCGTTTTCCACCTTATATACTCGTACTTAAAGCTAAATAAATAAATAAGTGTTACAGAGACGTAACATTGCCGCGTCTTCACTTAGATTAGGTGGAGTCGTGGTCAAGCGCTGGTTTATTTATGTTAAAAAAAGAGACATCTAATGGAAAATTTTGAGCTTATAGGTCCAGTTGTTTAAGATACATCTGATATATGGGAATAAGTTCGGTCAATTTATAAATGCCAAAGTACATACAGAAAAAAATTGGTGCGGATGTTCAAAATACAAGAAAAGTGCACATTAATCCCCTACTTGAAATGCGAATTATTTTACCTTGTGACTAGCTAATTCGGTTAATATGGTAATGTAAATTGATCGGTGTAATTTATCTGATAAACAAACGAGCAGCCCAAACGAGTCGATCAGCTTGATACTAAATAGTCTCGCTCTGACAAGCTATAGACCATATTTGGACAACAGCTGGCCCGCTGTAAGATATGATCTGACCCCCGAGACAATTAAAAAAATTACTTACAATTAAAAAAGGTAATTGGGGAATGACAGTGAGGCAGCAAACGTTGTCCTTTAATATTGCGGCCCACGAACGTATTTGCACGCTAAAGTTTGGCCCTCAACATGTCAAAGGCTGCCCATACCTGCTATAGATCTGCAAGATATCTCACCCGGCGGGTATAAATAAAAGTAAATTATGATAGCTTACTAGCGCCCTCTATTTTCCATTTTAACGTCTATATTCATCAAAGACATTCAAATCAAATAATATGTAGATGAGCCATAATTTTTTTTCACCCGTGGTACTTTCTTTGAAAGGTACATGTATAGACATTTAACAAAACATTTTGCAAAATTATAAAAACCTCCATCTTTTGTTGAAAAAAAAAAAATTTATAAATGTTACTAACTAAATGTTATTTAAGGACATCTATTGACAATAAAATAATTATACTCATGGCGACATTTTTAGTGTGATCATCACTATCTGTTGATGGATCCTTAAAACCATTAGGTGTATTTAAAATAACTGCCAGTAGATGTCACTAAACAGTATTTAATTAAGAACTGATACTGTTCGTCACTCGAAAACTTTTTTCATTTGATTTAGCACTTTATAAAACATTTTTTAATTCATTGTTATGTGTAAAAAATAAAACCTGAATCTAACAGAATCAAAAGTCAAATTAATCGATATATTTTATGTGTCAAAATCGCGACATGGCAACAATATCAGATGACATTTTTAGCTTTTGAATGTGTCAAACGAGATTTTACGATAGATAAATGTGAAAATGAGTAATGGTGAGAAAGATTTCTTTTAATTTGCCACAGTTTTTATCATAAATTGAAGTACAATGAAATTCACCTTAAAAAGTTGTATATTTTAGGGCAAATTATAACACAAGGTAAGCTATTCCGAATACACCGTTTCTTCTCAATTTGTCACATACATCTTATTGATATTTCAAGCTTCAATAACATGTTATTATCGTTAATTTTAGCACTTCATGCGTTTGTTGAAGTATTAACTTTTCATATGCGAATATCCTCACAGGTTTACAAATACGTGCGTGTTATTTTAGTACAATAGTATCATAATTTAATGTCAGCGTCAATTACAATTCTATGAAATAAGACCGTATTTATAAATGTATCATTTTTATTTGGAACTGAGGTAAATATGCATTTAAATATTTCCATGCTGTTGATTACGAGATGCAATTATTTTTGCAAATTTCCTAATTTCGGTCTGCATCAGTATCTTATAATTTATGGCAAAAGGGTTCATATATGTTATGTTGTATACATATTCTTATCTTGTGATGCATTAAAAGTGAATGACCATTAATCAATTTGAACTTGGTGGATATTTATGATTGGATTGAATCTGTGCTTCAATGCATGGAAGTGTATATGAAGTGTGTATGATTGATACAATGTTACTTGTACCAATTTACTGTTCCAAGCATCTAAATATATATAGCTAGGAATCATGTATTCTAATTAGTTTATTCTAGGAATTTTATGGTTATTTTAAGATGGCTTTTACTTGTTTTTTATGAGGTGTGAGTTGAAATTGTAATTATAACTACTGTTATATTTAGCTTTATATTTAAAATGATAAATTATTATCTTCTACCCTCAAAGATATGCCAGACAGTCGTACTGCTAATAATATAATACAGTTTTTTGGTCATTATTGTGTGAATACTTAGGTTGAAAGAGTGAAATATTACTTTATACTGTATGGTTGTAAAAATAAAGATTACTTCAACATTATAAACAATGTAACTCAAAGTATTCTGTATCTTGACTTCGTAAATTGTTTTTGTGAAAATATTTCTCCATGCTGGCATTTCAGTACATATTGATACATATGCACAAAATACCTACTTTTCATTCTGTCAAATACATCTTATTTTATGGGTTCTTTGTTTTAGAAATTCACAGATCTGAAATGGAATTAAACTAGGATTTATTTACTAAATCTTTTATTAATTGTATGAAACGAACATATGGAAGGGTAGTTCTTACTCATAACTTACATTTGTCGGAACTTTTAATGTTCTAAAACATCCTACATTTTTTTAAAGGGTCAGATAAAATAGAACAGAAAACATGTTAATTTGAACCTGTGCATATCCACTGACATCTATACATAGTAGCTTATAAGCCATGATTTTTATGCCTTTTTCTTTTCGTAATTATTGATGGATAGCGGTAATTAACACCAGTAAGCATATAAATTAAAAATGACAAGTATAAAATAAGTACCGGGTTGTGTATTAAGTCACATAAAAGCATAAGGTATTATAACCAATCAGCGACCTGTCTATTTCTATAGAGGTCATTGCTAATATATTAAGCAAAGTGACCAAGCCATACTTGATTTGTCAGCACACTGAGTAATTTCACCCTTTTTCACTTTGTACTTGAATCAATTTGTTTAAATTAAAACATGTATTACTAAAATTGTAACTCATGTGAGACATCAAATCATATTAAAAAATTGTACATTAAACATTCAATATTAAAGAATTAAAGATTACTTTCTAATACATTTATATGGGAGAAACATTTTTAAAAACCATTCAGTAGGTACTTTTGAATTTAACAGAAATAAACAAAAGATAAACATTTCTCAAGTATTAATTACAAGTAAAAGGATATTCCTGGAACATAGATACGATAATACAATGTTGCATAGAACAAAGCAATATTCTTAATATTATAATGTCAAGCTTCATATTATAATAGCTTTGGGTACACATTGAAATTAAGCCTAAATTGTACATTGTAGTTAATAGTCCATTAAGTGGATTATATTCTTTTTGTGCATTTTTTTATGAATGTATAATAAGTGGAAACAAATGGTTATTTGTTAATATTTTAGAACAGGATATGACTTATTATTACATATAAGTTGAAAATGCAAATTCTAGTTAATAAATTAATTTGTTATTGATAAACAGATAAGTGAAAAACTTAGTTGACATTATTAGTATGATATTTGCATACCAGAAGTAATTAAAGATAATGTAGTAATGATTCAATCTGTATACTAATGTTTAAAAGAGAAAAGATTTGTATTCTTGAAATAACTATTGGGCCAATTTCAAAAATCCTTTACCATTAAAGCTACATTATCACTTAGTAAAATAGGCTATATTTTTAAAATACATGTGGAGGAAGTCGCGAGCAACAGCTAGTGTAGAAATAAAAAGTGCATTTAAACATGTAACATGTTCTCCGATTATTATAACTTTATCGGAGCTGAAATTGTCATCAATTTTAGAGTTATTTATGCATTACGATGTAATAGTATGTTCATAAGTTCAAATTGTTTTATTCAGCAGCTGTTTAGCAACAGTAACAACACCGAAGGTTAAAATGATGACATTTGATACATCTGATATGATGAATGCTGCCCCACCTGATACTCATTCCGAAGATGCAACAGGTAATTCATTCACAAACACTTTGTCATACTTACGCGTTTTTTAACACCGCTGCAAATAGGTCGTCACTAGCACACCCTTGGTTCTGTCGCTTATATTCAGCCCTGAATTATGCCACACATTCCTTTATATGTTAACTAAATACTGACGCATTGTCAAAAGTAAGAAAAACTAGTGAAACCCTACATGATAATTGTTTTAATTTAACTTGAGTTTTTCTCCCAAAACATATGTTCATAAATGTTTATACACAATTAAAAAAAAGAATGACATGTTTATTGCATTGTAGTAATAGATATATTTGTTAATTAACAAACGTCATTAATACTTGTAATGAGTCAACTACCTTTCCAATCAATCCTACTTATACTTGAAAAATTGAGTTATTTATTAACCAAAATATACACATTGTAACAATTTAATGTGATTTATGTTTATATTCAGGAATGGAGGAAACTCCATCATCAATGGTGTCTAGTGAAGCCGAGTCTGAAGGCAGTGTGATATTGGAGCAAAGAGCCCATGATGGCGAAGCTCCCATGCCCTTCAGTAGTGACGCGAGTGTCTCAGAAGCACACGCCTCTCAGGACAGGTCCGCCCCAACACTAACGGCCAACGACTGGAGAAATGTCGGCAACTCACTGGCATCTATCATCTCAACAAGAGGTATTCATTTATAACCTATAGATTTGTAAACACGTTTTCTAGTCCCTTCTTTATTACTCAGAATGACTGGGATAGCTATATCATACTTCATACTAATATTATAAATGGGAAAGTTTAGATCGATGGATGTTTGTCTGTTAAAGTTTGTAGCCTAAACGGCTAAACTGATTTCTATAAAATTTGTTAGAGTTGTAGAGAACATTCTGGAAGAACACATAGGGTACTTACTTTTGTTATTTTTTTTATTCTATGCGGGCAAAAGCTAGTTTAGTAATAAAAGTGTCACAATAGTTGTATAGTTTAATTCTTACTATTCATTATCAAAACCTGACCAAAGAAAATATCATTATTATTGAAATATAGTATAACACGAAATTATGATTAATATCTATGAATAATATGTTTTCTACAAATAGTTGTTTAACTTTCTTTGTTTATGATCATTTGATTGAGCCATATACATTCACACTTTACATAAACATGTGAGTATGTATAACTCATTTAAACTCATCCAACCTTGCTAATAGTATTGTAGTCTTTATAGATTTAATAATGACTTAAAATTTATATAGATTAATCAAAGAAATTAAATTGAAACTTATATTCTTACTATATTAGAGCTAAAAAGAATTAAATTTTTGGGATATCAATTGTAATGATATGTTTTAAACATTAGTTAAGGTTTAATTGAGATTATTACTTTTTAATGCCTATATTTTTAAATAATTTTTATAAATTCCAGGCTCAATGCTACCATGGGGTCCACACAAAGGACCTATCGTTCCACCCACAGATATGGACCACCGTCCGGGAGAGTATGTTATGAGGCTATTATTTACTGAATTCACCGTTCAAGCTGAGAGAAAAATGGAAGCAGTGATGGCTGAACCATTGGTATGTAATTATTTTATAGAACCTCCTAAACAGCATGTGATTTAGCACAAAGTGTTCTCTGTTCTGACTTAACTATAGTTCTAAGTATTTGCTAATCTTTTAGGAGAAGCCTTTGAACAAAACCCTTCAGCGTGGTGAAGATCCACAACTTGATCAGATTCTATCAGCATTTGGTACAGTCGCTGAGCATTGCCTGCCTTCTTTGCTCCGAGCCCTGTTTGGTTGGCTCGAAAGACAAATGGCTGATTCACCGCAACTCAGTGAACAAGCAAAAAAGCCACAACACGATTCACGCAACAAAAGGTGAGATAAAACATTCACATGTAAATTTTTAGCTAAGACACGTGTCGAGCAGATTGGAATCAAATTTTACGTATGAATAGCAACAATAAGGCACATCTAAGATAAAGATGTCTTGTCATTTAAATAGTCTAAAATTAATAACAATTGGTAACTGGCGTCACGCGCTTTTTTTTTTCATCCAAAAAGTCAATATAAAAGTCGGTACCCAAAAACATTTCAGATATTGTTTGTCAGTTTCTGTACAATTGACATCTCTCATTCTGTTATATTGAGCCTATATTTCATTGTAATATAAAATAAAATCAGGAAATAACTCATTCAAGTTAGCTGAAAATCGAATAACTCCCTTGAGTTGTTGATTAAATTTCTTCATAATACAGATATTCTACATATTGTATCTATTCTCTTACCATTTTAGCGTCACCATCGTATTTTCTTTTATTTGTAAAGTGTCTTCCAACATTTGGTACAATACATCACAAGTTGTGAGTCTAATCTTTAATCTATTATTTAGTTTTATTTTGTAAAAATTGTTTTTTTTTATTTAGCTTTAATATAACCATTATTTTTGCAGTATAATATACATAGTTGCTGGAAGTGGGGCTGGGACGGAGACCACTGAACGTAGCTGCGAGGAGTTGCAGGCGGAGAGACGAGACCTGGCCGTAGAGTTCCTCTTCTGCCTAGCTCTGATTGAGGTGCTGCGTCAACTGCCCTTCCATCCAGGACACGAGGATCTAGTGCATTACATTGAGACACTGGCCTTCAAACGATTCAATTATAAAGAAGGGTGAGTTCAAATTGATTAGAACATGATATAAACATTAAAGCAGGACGTAACAATTGACTCGTGAAATACAATTTTTTCATGCTATAATATCTGTTATTAAAAATACATTTTTGACCATATTATTATAACTTTGTGAAATATAATTTGTTCACATTGAAGTTTACCTTTTGTTAGATATATTATTTAATATCTATAGATACTAATATGTTTGAAATTATAGGCTCCAATCGAACCCTAACGCGGCCAACGTGCATATAATAGCTGACCTCTACGCAGAAGTAATCGGCGCCCTGGCGCAATCACGCTTCTCCTCCGTTCGGAAACGATTCACGGCGGAACTCAAGGTAAATATATACAAATATAACATACTAGCTTTCGCCCACACTCCGTCCGCGTGTATTTAAAAAAATCAAAAGTGTGTAGCCTATGTGTTCATCCAGACTATTCTCTACATCTATGCTAAATATCGTCGTAATCCGTTCAGCCATTTAGGTTACAAATTCTAACAAACATCCATCTATTCATCTAGACTTTTTTCATTTTTAATATTAGTATTAGAACTTACTAAGATTAGACTAACAGGACATTTTAATGAAACTATGGCACTAGATGTGTAATTTCTGTCTACTTTGTTAAGTTTAAGGTTAAGCTTTAAGTCATTTAACTTGGTACCTTTATAGAAATCCACTATACTTAAAAAAAAAATCGAATTTCCACCAATGGCGACCGCTAGTCTATAGTACTTCGTATATTTACATCCGTAAACGTCTATTAGCATATACCTGCGACTTATGATTATCACATATGTATTATAACAATTAGTATCTAGAACATGATATAGTTCAGTTTTGTAACACACAGTTATAACATACGCTAAAGACAGAGAGAAATGGAAAGTGTTAGAGGAGGCCTTTGTCGAAAGACAAGCTGTTTCTCGGGAGTATCCGCTTGCCGATAAATAGAATATAGATTAGAAAATTAGTGGACAATCATTTTTATGTTTATAATATTTAATTAGTTCCTTTTTTTACTTTTTGTTTTTAATATTTATGTTTTGTTTAACTTAAGCTTTGATTTCTTTTAATTTATAATAATGATTGTCACATGGAATCTCCCTAAGTATTAGATAGCATGTAACTGTAAATTTAAAATATTACTTTAATTTAAGAACAGCAATAAAGGCTTATTTTATTTTATTTTATTTATTTAACATATAATAGAGTGTCTGAAAACGGTTAATGATGATAAAAGTATGAATAATGGTTTTTAACCATGTCATTATCACTATTGTATAATTAATATTATAATATAAATTGTTGTCTTGTCTTTAACTAGCTGTCGCCCGTGACTCCGTCCTTTCGGAAATAAAAAACTCAGTAGTTTATGTTTTCTTCCAGATTATGTTCTACAATTATGCCAAATGTCAAACAGATTAAGCCATTTTAGAGATAGCAAACATCCATCTAGACTTTCACTTTTATATTAGTAATATATTAAAGAATAATATCAACTCATAACAAATTCAGTGTTACCAACACAGTACTTAACTATGCTTATATTTGACTTTTTTTAAGATTTCTATATTCACATTTTTACTTTATAATTTGTGAACAGGATCTAAAGTCTCGAGAACCATCACCGCATTCGACACAAAGCATCATATCTTTGCTGATGGGCATGAAGTTCTTCCGAGTGAAGATGGTGCCCATTGAAGAGTTCGAGGCATCGTTTCAATTTCTGCAAGAATGTGCTCAATATTTCCTTGAGGTGAAGGACAAAGATATACGACATGCGTTAGCTGGTCTCTTTGTGGAGATATTAGTGCCAGTTGCTGCGGTAAGCTATCATTTATTGTTTTTTTTTAATCAACATCTACAGACTCTTTTTTCCACGGTTTATATAATTCTTTTTGTTGCGTATTTTCATGTTATATTAATGAGTTCCTTATTATATTATATACATATTTTTAGTTTTTTTTTCTTTGTTTTTATTAAATTTATTAATATTTTAAGTTATGCTAAATACAATAACACTACTTCTAAACAATATTTTGACTTATACTAAAACAACAGTTATCTTCGCATTATGATGTGTTAATTTCGATTTACGTTGTATTGTATGTGGAGGTGTTTACCAAATTGTTAGATTTATTGTTGAAACAATGTATTGAAACATTATTTTCTCTCCAGAATCCTTAAGAAAATAGAAGTGTTCCGATGATTAAATCTCACAATTTAATGGGTAAATAATTTTATTTTAGACTGTGAAAAACGAAGTGAATGTACCATGTTTGAAGAACTTTGTCGAAATGCTGTACAGTCATACATTGGATGCCAGCACCAAGTCTAAGCATCGGCTGGCGCTGTTCCCTCTGGTCACCTGTCTGCTCTGTGTCTCACAGAAGCAGTTCTTCTTAGCCAACTGGCATTGCTTCCTCGCTATGTGTCTGTCACATCTCAAGAACAGAGACCCGAAGATGTGCAGAGTGGCACTAGGTGAGTTGATTTATTTTAACACTAGCTTTCGCCCGCGACTTTGTCTGCGCGATATTGACAAAAAACAAATGTGAGTAGCCTATGTGTTCTTCCAGACTATCCTCTACATTTACAGCACATTTTAGCAAAATCTGTTCAGCCGTTTAGGGTCCAAACATCCATCCAACCATCATGATATGGCTAAAGATACATAATACAACATTTTAAGCATATTTCTTTGTGTACTTCTATACAAAACACAGTACTTTTTTAATATTTCAGAAGCGTTATACCGTCTGCTCTGGGTGTACATGATAAGGATCAAATGCGAAAGCAATTCTGCCACTCATTCTCGGCTGCAGAGTATCGTCAACTCCCTCTTCCCGAAGGGTTCCAAAGGCGTAGTCCCTCGTGACACACCCTTGAATATATTCGTCAAAATCATTCAGTTCATAGCTCAAGAGAGACTGGACTTCGCTATGAGAGAGATAGTATTCGATCTGCTAATGGTCGGAAGACCGATCAAGATAATTATGACACCTGAAAGAATGTCTATAGGTCTTCGAGCGTTTTTGGTCGTAGCTGATAGTCTTCAACAGAAAGAAGGTGAACCACCGATGCCCCGGACTTCGGGGACTTTGCCATCCGGGAATACTTTAAGAGTTAAGAAGACTTTTCTCAATAAAATGTTAACTGATGAAACAGCAAGGTCTATTGGGATGAGTGCATATTTCCCTTATGTCAGGCGAGTGCTGGTGGAGATACTGAGGGCGTTGGATGCGCACTACGGCCGGCCATTGATGCTGACCAATACACAGAATGTTACCAAAGAACAAGAAATTAATACAGGCGAGAGGAAGCCTAGAATTGATCTATTCAGGACTTGCGTTGCCGCAATACCGCGGTAAGTACTTTATTATATTTTATAAGTATTAAGAATGGTTGAACAGTTTATGCTACAAACTCTAACCTAACAACCATCCATTCCTCCATCTAACCATTCATCTTTCGCATTAATAATATTCGCAAGTTAGTTTGTTGTTATATCATAGTTAACTGAAGAAAAATATTCCTTTTCCGTTCAAACATTTTTAGCAAAAATATTTTAACAGCATTGTTTATCTCATGCAGCCTCATCCCCGAGGGAATGAGTTCAAGTGAGCTGGTAGACCTGTTGTGCCGGCTGACAGTGCATATGGATGAAGAGCTCCGGGGCCTGTCCTTCCAGAGCCTCCAGACCCTCATCGTGGACTTCCCGGAGTGGAGGCAGGATGTGCTCGCTGGCTTCACGCAGTTCCTCGCCAAGGATGTACAGGTTGTTATTATTTTATACTTATATGTTTATTAAAATTAATAAAACAAAGAAGTCTATATAGCATGCCCAGAGCAGGATTTTTAAGCATACATGTTAGTTGAAATGTTAAAAGCAAATACAGTGGATGGATACGCTAGATTCCAAGACATTTTATTATGTTTTCTCGCTTATCCAATTTCGACAGTACTTAGGGTAGTATAGTAGGATAGTACCACTTAGGGTCCTTCAAAAAGCGAGGCTATCATTTCCTCAAAGGCCGGCAACGCATCTGTAGTTCCTCTGGTGTTGCGGATGTCCATGGGCATCGTTGACCACCTCAGTGTTCTCGTCGCTTGTTTGCTTCCTTTTATTATAAAAAAAAAACTTAAATTCGCTTTTATAAATATTTCAGGACACCACACCCCAGTTGGTTGAGAATGGTCTTCGAATGCTGCTACAGCTTATAACTAGCTGGAAGAATGGTGAACCAGCAGCTTCCGCGCCTGCAACGCCCTCCGCGCCCTCCGCGCCCACCGCACCCGCTGTGCCTACCGCGCCCACCGCGCCTATGAAACACGAGCCGCTGTTATCTGTGCTCAGAGGTGCTGAGGCTCTTGGCCTCGTCATGTTGTGCCAATGCAAGGCCTATCCTAGGCGATTGGCTGTACATATACTAAGGTTTGCATAGTACTATTTCCTTGTTTAATATAACTTTCATATCTTAGTATGATAATTTTTTGTAGATTTAAGATAGTTAGGAAAGATTTTGGGAAACGAGAGATTGGAAAAGTTTAGAGTGGTAGACGGTTCTTACTATATTTATATAGATATGTTCTATGTTCTGAATTACTAGGTAGAAGGTTTAATGGTACTGGACGTATTCAACAAATACATTATAACATTGTTTTATAAAAAAATGCTTGTCTATACAGTCGGTTTACAGTTGATATTTTTATTACAAGCTATTTTGATCTATACTCTTGCTTGTGCATCCGGTTTAGGCTGGACAGAACAATAAGTCATACTAAAAAGTAAAAAAAAAAAAACAATTATCTTGTGACGTGGTGGCAAATACTAATATTCGAGGAGAAAAACAATGTTAGAATAGACAAGCAAGTTAGACGAATGTAAAATGAAGATATTAACATATACGTGTTTAATCTTATCAGGGAGATCAAGTATCTGCTAGATAAGTTACAAGTGAGTCGCGAGGAGCCTGCATTGATAGAGGCTGCGGACGCGCACGTGCCTCACTTTGCTGAGAAGTGTCTGTCGCTGCTGCCTCCAGCGGAGAAGCAGGCGATACTCGCAGCTGGACAGCCGGACCTCGTATGGATAGCGGAGCGCAGCCACGCCGTATGGACCGCTGGTAAAACTATGAATCTACTAGCTTTCGCCCGTGACTATCCGCGTGGAGTAAAAAAAAATTAGTACCCTATGTGTTTTAGATCTAGAGGTTAGGCCTCTACATCTATGCCAAATTCGAGATTCGTTTAGCCGTTTTGTCTACAAACTAACCAACATCCATCCATCTATCTAAACTTTCGCATTATATATTAGTGAGATCTAACTGTCATGTAATTCCTTTTTTGTGGCAATAAATATTCATTCATTCATTCGTTCATAACAAATTGAAAATTTGTGGGCTTTGACAAAAGGCACTTCTAAAGAGTCGATAAATGTAAAATAAATAGTCAATTTCTCATTAAATAATGTTGAAAGTGCTTGTATATGTGAAATTTGATTGACGGTGTATGTTACAGGTTTACAACACGATGAAGCATCGACTAAGAACAGCTGGAGCTCTAGTTCTAGTAACGGAGCTGATCCCTGGGAGGTGAGTTACTATTTAATATTAACACATCAAATATAAACTAGCTTTTCCCGTGCGGCTTTATCCGCATGATTGCGACTTACACTCGTTTTTTTCTAATTTCCCCTAAACTAAATAGCGTGGAGATATGTAACGTGTCGTTAGTGTTTTTATTAAAATGAAGATTATTGGAAATATATTAGAATAGATATAAATATCCTGTTTTAATACTGAATGTATATTCACAGGTAATATTATACGGTCTATTGGAGCGCGGCCGCGTACCCGCCCGCTGCCCCGCCACCGTACTGCAGGCGTGGCCGATACTTCACGCCAGGATACATGCGCTGTACACCATTATAGAACCCGCGTAAGTATTGCCAAAAAAAATAATAATACCGCAATGTAGAATTGCCACAACAATAGATTATTGGCATAAACGTCACATCTCTGACAGCTGTCAATGTCATTACACGTTTTTGATTATGGCGAGCGATCCTAGCAAGAAATGTAGCTCTGAGTTTTTAAATTATCACGTTAGATTATATAAATTGTTTAAAAGTATAAACACTTATTTAAAACTGATTTTCTTATATATTTGAATAATTTACACCATTAAAATCATTTACGCTGGCTACATCATTCACATCCTTTACAACATTCACATCATTGACGTCATTTACATCATTCACATCATTGACGTCATTTACATCATTCACATCATTGACGTCATTTACATCATTCACATCATTTACATCATACACGTCATTGACGTCATTCACATCATTGACGTCATTCACATCACTTTAATTGACATTATTTATACTATTCACATCATTCGTTTCTACTCTTTAACCCTATATCTGCCTATTTGTACATCAATTGTGAAATGTTGGTTACAGACCAGTCAGCGACAATCGCGCCTCCTTGCTCTCTCGCAGTCCTGCTTTACCCAGAAAACCAGAGAAGGAAAGAGATGGATATATGCAAGTAAGTAAATTTTATTTCTATAACATGTTAAGTTTGGCAATTTAAAAAAATGGATTGGAAAATGGATCTTGATATATTTTTCTTTATGCGGCATTATAACTTGACCAGTACATTAGGTCAGTAGCGCTCTATAACTGGACTGTCAACAACTGACACATTGTGATCATTAACTGGTACCAGTGAGTCCATACAATCTGACTGGCCTACGCAACTGTCCCACTAGACTGACTAAGTATGAACCGGGCTTTAGTATCAGGCTTACGGTTATTCTAAATTTCTTTGCTTTTTTTAATTGAAAAATACTTTTTAGTTGGTTTTATATTTATCCGTTACTTTTAGGTGTGGAAGTATTATATGACGATGGCATACCTAGTGGTGCCGGCTGTGCCTAGTCCAGTCATCCGCTGTGCCAGTCCAGATTTGAGTCTAAGGTAAGTCAACTGTCTTTGTATACATTTACTACATTGAGTGTGACGGATTTTTTAATAATCATTAGGATTACAGTTCAAATCTATATTCGATCCTTGAGATATTAACCCTTTAAATGGATTACGTTTTTCGATTGATGTTGCTATCCCTCAGATTGACTTTGAACTAATTGGATTAAATTTGAATATCATGGATAAGTAAGTGTTTCGAAGTCGAATATTGATTTCTGCAGTATAAAAGTAAATCTTTCCGTCGCATTCCAATTTAACAATCTTTAACAAAATGGACACTACTATATAAATATTTTGATTGGCTTAACAAGTAATACTTTGGAATATTTTTTAATTGGCATTAAAGCATTTGTTTGTATAGTATTCTAAAATTAATTTGTTGTGCTGAGAGGAGTAGTGATCTTATTTTGCAATCACTTGTAATGTGGTATTAAACTCGTTTGCCTTTTAACAGATTAATAGAAATATTATTTATTAAAATACATATATTTTAAGAACAAGAAACGCCTGTTAAAATATGACTATGTGAAACGTCGCATGCGTTTATTACGTAACAATCCGCATATATTTCTAACATGGTAACTCTGTTTCTATTACGTTGAAATAAATGTTACAATATCTGAATATAGTTTAGTAATGTTGAGGAACAACTAGCAAGTTATATACTTTATTAGATATTTTATAAGGATTTCAAATATAATTCGACAATTGACAGCGTAATAGAAACTTGTAATGTTTAACTACTGTGAGACGCGATAATTTGACCAAATGATCTCAATTGGATTCTCACATTCGAGTCGATTATGTGTTTAATGTATTTATAACATTGTATTGCATCAAGATATAGAGAAAGTATGATGGAGAAGGGGGTACATGATAGTTAGAGAGCAACAATCGGTATAATATTTCGGTGGTGAGTGTGGTGAATGTGGTGCGTGTGACGGCAATGCGGCGGCCCAATGCGTGCCCTCTGTCCAGCCACGCGGAACCGGAGGGGTGGGCTGGCCCGGCCGCGCTGACTGGCTCCAGCGAGAGCCTCAACGCCACCGGCGGCTTCTTCACGCTGCCCCTCAGCTATGCCCGCGCGCACAGGCATCACAAACGGACGAGGTGGCCGATACAATCGCCAAACGCAATCACATCGTCAATCGCTATGTGCACGTCGCATTTGTTTATCATATCATCGTTTCTGTCGTGTTTCGGTACCATCTCGCTTATCCTCATCGTTGTCTTAACATAAGGCATGATTCAATGCCGTTATCATCCGTCGCCGCAGACCCCGTCGAACCGATGGAATCGTCAGCGCATACATTGTCGATTCCGCGCTCGCTTGTCAATTACCCGATACGAAAACCGCTGTATCGTTGCCATTCATCATATCACGCATAGGTAATGTGCACAGCTAGCAAACATCATTGTTCAATCGTCATTACTGGGACTGTTTGATCGCAAATAGATCGCAGGTTGTGCTGTGTCTCGCCGTCTTTTAGATATATACATACATCGACACGTTGTGCAATAGCATTATCATTTACTGTGCGCGCTCTCACATTGTAGTCGCATAATTTACGTGTTTTGTTTGTGAATGACAGTGTATGGCCAATAATTGTCTACTTGACATATATGGACTATCTATACGTGTTTATTTGAAATTGAAAGATTGATATTTCTTAATTACTTTCCTATTTAAATATTTGTATGAAATTTTTTATTTTTTAACAAATAAAAAACCTGTATAATCAATCTTTCTATTTCAATGTGTTTTCTAAAGAACGTAAAGCAGCCGTTTGCTAAACTGTCATAACTTTGAATGTGTAGTTAGTGATATGCTATGGGAACAATGCACTAATAAACTAAAATGACAACAATTAACTAACAACTGCTTAAGGATAAAACATTTAAAACAAATTGAAAAAAAACATAAATTAGTATAATATTAAATTCTTGAGTAAAGGATGAGTTTTGTATGTGTGTGTAAATAAGCTGTTTTTTTATATATCAAATACTGTCAACATGTTTTGGTGAATCATTGAAATAAGGTGTTTTTATATTATGCCATGTACAAATGAAGGCGTTGTGAATTCATTAGTTTTTATAATAATTATTTCATAAAGATCATAGTAGTAAAATCAAATTGTTATGATTTATGCAAGGTAACTTAATGTGTGCGAATATAACATTATTTGTTTGAAATAAGAAGTTGAAAGGCATGAATGGAATGAAATTTCAAAAGGTATAAGGGGCCAATTCTATTAGGTGTCTCATTTAAAATTATAATAAAGCATTTAATTTTTATTAGACTATAAAATATGAATATATTCAGTAATATATTTGATTCAATATGTTTTATATTTGTTATATAAAATTATTAATCTGAAAAGCTTTAAAGGCATTTCTTAAAACGTATTTAAATATTTCTTTTTCGCGTGCTATTTTTTTTGTGTTGTTTTACAGTAGTTTAAAGCGTTAAAACGTAAATATCTATTTGCTATCTGATTTTAGATATATCTAAACGCTAGTTGCTGAAGAGGCTGTTTTTGTTTCATTTTGTAAGCTTTTGTATATTTGTTCCGTATTGCTTCTGTTTGAAAAAATGTAGTACATAAATGTTTACACAAAGCTATTTTTTTCAATGTTGTTTCTGTGTTTTGCTATTACTTATGCCCGATAACTCTTCCTTTGTCAGAAAATGGCAATGCCTTTGCTGTTAAATGTTTTCCTTATAAATGTTGTAAATCTATCTCTTTATCTCACTTCAAAACTTAATAAAGATTCAAATCCAGTAGAAAAACTAGCTTGATGTCGTAAATAATAATATTAAAATGAATTATTAAGGTTACTTCATGCTATCTCTACCAAAAGGTAGGTAAATGGGAAATTGCATATGTGAGTAACAACTAATAATGTTAAATGGGAATTTTTTTTTTAGTAAATCTTTGTTTTAACGATTTTCATATTATTCATTTAAAAAAAAATTACCATTCATATTGAATAACAATTCGACAGTTTTAAGTAAAGTAACAGTTATCATTATAATTTTTGAACATTTTCAGCCAAAGGAAGTATACCAAAATGAACTATACTCAAAATACCCTAATTCAATAGTTATAACAAAAGAAATGTCACTTTATAAAGAAAAATTGGTGACACAAAAGAAATCACACACAGAAGTTTGTATTTCAAACTTCCAAGGAATATGTATGTACTGTCACATCCCTTTTAGGCTAAAATAACAGTTCGAATAATCTTACTTCTGAAAGAATTGTATATTCTGATCAGAACAATAAAGTAACCTTACCTTCAAATTTAACTTTTCAATAACTGTCATCTTCATGAATTGTTGGAGGTTATTTATTATTCTATTCAGGCTACATATATAAATATATGCAGTATTGTTTATCCCATGTTGTGATGTTAGTTCGTCGCCGGACTCGTTGAGCGAGCGCAGCGGGGGAGAGGCGCGGGGCCTCGCTCCACAAGCTGGCGGCGCCGCTGGTACGCTGCGAGGTGCACGAAGTCCGTGACGCCGCGGTTTCAGCTTGCGGACATATTAATCCTGATGCACTCAAGTAAATAATTCTATACTAGCTTTTCGCTCGCGATTCCTCCCACGTGGAATTAAAGATAAACAAAACTTAGTAGTCTATGTGTTCTTCCAGACTGTCCTCTCCGTATATGCCAAATTTCATCGAGATCTGTTCAGCCACTTAGACTACAAATTCTAACAAACATCTTTCCATCCATCCACCTAAACTTTCGTGTTTATAAGGTTAACTGTAACACATATAATTGTTAATTGGTCGCTAAAGTAATCCTCAGATTGATTTTCTACAAACGATAAAAATGTATCAAACTCTTGAAATAAAGTCGACTACTGAAAATTTGATTTTAAAAAAAATCATTTAGTTATATGTTTGTTCAACCAGGGACTTGTTTGAGGAGCTCCTGCCTATATTACGGGAAGCCGTGGATCGTAAACAAGAGAACATGCGCCGTCGTCGTCGCAGAGACGCGCTTCGTCTGCACCTCAATAAAATGTTGCTTATTATAGCGAGGAGGAATACATTTTCTAACAGGTAAATTATCTTACAATACATTTAACAACTGTATTCGAGTTATATAAGTAGCGCTAGTGTGACTGTAGATACTAACTTCATATAATTTAAACCTTAAACGTATCAGTTAACAGTAGTTAGTTAATTAAGGTCTGTGTAATAAAAAAATTAGCAGACATACTCAAGGAATTATTAGCACAGGATTTAATAGAATGACTGGACAAAGAATTAATACATGTATTAATGTCGAAAAAGGGATATAGTGTTTTCTGCGTACCCCTCTGGGTTGAAGCGTTATGTTTTAGTATGTTGTTTTGTGTTTAGTACATTTGCGTTGGAGAGCGGCGGTCTGCACTCCTCAATAACGGAGTATTTGGACGGCGTGCGGCAATGCCTCGAGGCGGAGACGGACAAAGACGCGGCGGCGGCGCGCGAACAACGGCTCACCTTCGCTGACTTTGTCACTGAACTTGTCAAGAGCTTTCCCAGTAAGATATTATGTTTACATATCTATATATTGACTGATATTATACATGCGAATGTTTTGATGAATCGCTAAACGGCTGAACGGATCTCTATAAAATCTGACATAGATTTAGGGGATAGTCTGGAAGGACATATAAGCAATTCAATTTTGCTGTGTTTTTTAATTCCACGCGGACAGAGTCGCAAGCAAAAGCTATAAAATTGAAGTCTCTATATGTGACATAAAAAATCAGATTTCCCGAAAACGTATATTCTTTGCTGAAAATGATAATCACATTTAAAAAGAAAATTGTCTGTCTACCTGCAAATTGTTCCAGCTAATATCTGAAACGGGTGGACAGATGTTTACAGGGTTTTGGATAGTAGCTGATACGACCCACAATGTTATGAACGATTATTTTTTATTTCCGTACTAAGTTTGGGAATACTTCCATATGTTATTTAAAGAGTATCATCTACCCTGTCTTATGCAATTGCCGTAGGGTCGGCGCACCGGGTCTTCGTCCTGCAAATAACTCTATCATCCGTCATCTCTCCCTTCTTGATCATGTCACCTTTCACGCAATACATCCATCTCTTTCTACCTCTACCTCTGCCGGTGTACCTCCACATTCATAACTAACTTCCTTGTTACATGCGATTCATCCCTTCTCATAACATGCGCATACCATGCTAATCGTTTACTCCTTATTTTCTCAACCACTGGGGCTACTCTCAAAGTAATTCTTTTTTTGTTATTTGTTATTTGAAGAGTATATTATTGATGTAACTGGGTAACACAAATAGATAATATACGAAATGAGTATATTAGAGGAAGTTTGAGAGTAGTCCCAATAGTAGAGAGGGTAAGGAGTAAAAGGTTAGCATGGTATGGGCATATTATAAGGAGGGATGAATCGCATGCTACAAGAAGAACGTGAGTTATGAATGTGGAAGGGTACACCGGTAGAGGTAGACCTAGAAAGAGATAGATGGATTATGTAAAAGGTGACATGATCTTGAAGGGTGATGACTTAGATGACGTATGATAGAGTTATGCGGAGGATAAAAACCTGTTGCGCCGACCCTATGGAGTAGGATATGGAGAAAGCTGATGATTATTGATGTAAATGCAGTCGAACTGTACGGTACGCTGATGAAGAAGGAGTTGTGCCGGGGCCTGTTCTCGCTGTTCGCGAGCTGTTGTGGGCCGCTGGCGAAGTACCTCGGCGCCTTGGTGACTCAGCCGCAGCCTCAGCAAGCACAAGATGACGACAGACTCAACTTGTCCGCACTCACGGTATAAATATAATTAAGATTACTTCATAGTATTGAAAACCTTTCCTATTGAATTATATAGCTTTAATACAAATGTTTATCTTCAACAAAAAATGTTTATAGCTTGTTGATTGGTACAGCGATAACTTGTTTCCTTTCCTAACGGCCTAAAATACTATCGTCTAAAAGTGCCTATAATCCAGGTCTAGGTCCCTAATTGATGATTTACATGTTGGTCTAGTTTCTTAACAAACTTTCTTGTATCTCATTACATATGTTAATGTTATAAGACCTCTATACAAATCTCTCTTCTCTCTCTATAGCTCGTATCCCATATGGTATAGATCTAAATTATTATTTTTGTAAGTTACAAATAAATTAAAAACCAATTAGAACTGTTTTATTGTTTTCCATTTCAAATCTACATTATAATTGTTTGGTTGTTTTATTTTATATAAATATTGTTGTTAGGCAATGAGTGCGTTGGTATGCTGCGGGCCGTGCTTCGCACCGGCCGCACTCGCTGAAGACGGCGCGCTCTATCCCTGGCTCAGTCAAATGCTCTCTTCCACTAATGATAAGGTATGAAAAACACTTTTATTTTTATTTCTTTATTTAAAAAACCATCATCATCCACTTGCCCTTATCCCTTACGGAGGGTCGGCACAGTATGTGCTGCTCCATACATCTCTATCAGCCGTCATATCTGAATCCACTCCTTTCTTAAGCATATCCTCTTTCACACAATCCATCCTTACTTGCTTCGGTCTTCCTCTTCCTTTGTAGCCAAAAATTATTATCATTTATTTATTTAAAAAACCAATAGCCTATAAATATAAAAACTTATTACATCAGGTTTTTATTTAAACTTGTAAAGTTAAAATATAATATAATGCAATAATAAACAAAAAATAATACAAAAAAATTTGATTAATCAAAACAAAGAAAGTCACACATCACAGTAAGGGAGTATAAATGAATATGAAGAAAAAAATAAAACAAATAATACATTATTAGTTAGTAGACAAAATGTCTTTTTAAATTTTGGTTTTAAAGTTTTATTTTCGAAAGGTTAAAGATGTCTATATTGTTAAAGTGTAAATTGTAAGTGTTCATGAGACGCGTAGTGTTGTTGGCAGCGTAGCGTTCATTTTTGAATTAAAAAAAAAAACGGAATTTATAAAATATATTAATTCAATAAACAAAAAAACAGTTCTTGGCCAAAAGAAGGCCGTGCTAGTTTTCAACCTCGCCTTAACTACTGGTATATGCTTCAGCTTATGAAATAGGTAGTTGATATATAGACAATCTTTGCACTGTGTGCGTTTGTGTGTGCTATGAAGAACTGACATATGTGAAATATACTTTTGCTATACCCGTAATGTAAACAAACGCTTGTTGAAAAGTACATACGTTCAAAACAATAACACAATTAAGGGTGCTTTTGTAAATCTTTCGTATAATAATGTTTTTCCTGTGTTCATAATACTGATAAGGAAGTACGGAAGGTCAAATTCGTTAATTGGAAAAACATCGTTTCTCACTTATACTGATAATGTTCATAATTATTTGTTGTTTCTTTTGTTATGATTTCCGAAAAGAAAATGTACAAAAATAAAGGAAAAAAATCTGTTAAGACGCAGATTGTGAACGTGGATTATCTCTTCAATTTATTTCAAGTTAAGAAATGCTTATCTGTTTTCGTATACTGTTTTTATATTTGTAATTTTATTATTTTTCTTAATGGGATTTTATCGATTTCATGCTAAATATATGGTAGTTATTATAGCCTCGCCATTTAAATTACATTTCAATAAATTACTGATAACATCAAGTTTATCCAATTGTAAAATTTGTTTTATAATATTTGCGCGTGTGCGTAAAACTACTTTGTTTCGTAAGATGTCAATATCACAGCATATTTTTGAATAATTCTTTCTTTAATAAAAAGCCCTATACTTACGTCACGCCTTAGGCCATATATTTTCACGCATTTAAACTCGGGAGATAAATAAATTGGTTAAAAACCCTGATGTGCGAAAGGGACCATAAGCTACAAGCTGCCAACATCAAGGAAGTAAGATTGTCATCATGTCATGTCATTTTGACATTTGCAATTGATAATTTGACAAATGGAAACAAAATAGTACCTATAGTAAAATTTTTATTATTTCATGCGGATGAAGCCGCACGAGAACAGCTAGTAATTAAAAAAAAGTAAATTATAGATTATCTAATCTATACTAATATTGTAAAGAGGAAAACTTTGAATTTTTGTATTTTTGTATGTATTGAAAAAAACCACTGGACCGATTTTAAAAATTCTTTCACCGTCAGAAAGGTAATTTATCTGTGAGTAACATAGGCTATATTTTATTACTACTAATGTTTAGGAACTATTAATAATCAGCGTGTTTCTGGACGGCGGCGTTAAAAATTCACTAATCTTTAACTTTTCTCGGCTTACGCTGCCTAAACCGTTAGAGGTATATAAAAATGATGTATGAAAGAATTGTAGATCTCAAAAAGTTCTACAGAAAAGTCCCCGATAGCATACATCTATCTTTAACGGTTCTCTCACAATAACCAAAACCTTACGCTATTTGCAGCGTTCTTTTATCGTTTTCAATATTAATCCTTATCCAAATAAATACGTTTGTTATTAGGAGAATTTAATGTAGAATAAAATTGTCCTTTACAGTATTTAAATTGGACTAATAGTTTAGAAGATATCGCGAACACAAACAATAAGGGTAACCGAAAAATCAGCTTACGAGCTACCGGGCTTAGAAATTTGGAATCTTGCATCGGTAGATTTCTGTTATTACGTAGAGTACTACTAAGTTAATAATTTTGGTAATTGGTTGAAAAAAAGGAAGAACGTAATAGGTTATATTTCTCATTCCACGCGGGCGAAGTCGCGAGCAACAGCTAGTGTGAAATAAAGATATTTGAATGAATGTATTACATAAATGTTAAATATTGTCCATACAGATCTATGAACTAGCCCGTGAGACTATCGTGTTGCTATTGGAACGCAACCCCGATATTGGCCCGCTACTGGACTGGACTGTGGACAAATGCTTCACTGGAACACCTCGGGTTGCTGACGGATGCTTCATGGCGTTAGCAACCATATTCAGTGCTAGGTAAGTTAAATATACGCAATATTTTACATTTCTAATGTTTTGTACTAACTTTAAAAACATAACATCAGTAATTTGAAAATCAAAGCCTACTCTTCAAGGGTTTTTCCGGTTTTGATTTATCAGAATTTAGTCATAAATAAAATTTGATATACGAAAATATAAAATTTGTTATAATATGTATAGATTTGTATGTAAGTTCGTTTTGCGGATTATTTTGCGATTTGTAACGTGTTATACAAACTTGTGATATCGCGTCTAATGACCTATATAGAGACAAATATTTGACTTGACACTGTTTACTGATTGCCACACTCGAAGTCGGTCAAGACGACCATCGGCAATCGATCACTTTAATACACTAGCTTACGCCTGCAACTCCTTCCGTGTGGAATTAAAAAAAAAAGTAAACAGCCTTAGAGACTATGCTCTGCACCTTTACCAAATACAATAGAGATCTGTTCAGTCGTTTAAGCGGCAAACTCTAACAAACATCGATCCATCTAAACTTTAGCATTTATGATATTAGTATGATAAGTTATTTCTCAAAGATGAAATATCTTGACATGCTCTTTTATTGTCAACTTAGTCCCTGAGGTATTCCTGAAGGTTAACCACAACGTAGTTTTACATATAACGTGTAGTGAAACACGATGTAACTTAAAGCTACTGTAAGTGTATGTTTACAACTAAGTTTGCGATTAAAGTGCACTTTACAAAGTAAAACCGACAAGGTCGCGTTTTACCGCAAACTTTATACTTTAAACGTAAACCTTACCTTTGAGTTAACGAGCTCTCTTCCATCATTATTTTATTTTATTTTCTATACATTTTTGTAACGCAGACCTTTGAGAATACTTTAGTTTTACAAACAAATGCTTTGCGACTGCCGTAGCCGATCTTGTTGACTTTTAATTTACTAAAACGGTACCACATCGAATATTTAAGTGATTGTTATTTAATAACAAAATCCGAATTATTACTAAATAGATACGTGTAAAAAACATCGCACTTTGAGTCGGATAAATAGTTAAATTAAATTTTCCCTACTTCATGTTATCGTGTAATATATGGTACTCTATGTCTATATTCTTTGAGAAAATATAGATTACTAGCTTCCGCCCGCGACTCCGTCCGCGTTGTCTTTATAAAAACAAAAGAAAGCAGTCTATAGCCTTCCAGACTATCCTCTACATCTATGCCAAATTTCTTCCAGATCTATTCAGCCTTTTAGGCTACAAACTCTAACAAACATTCATCCAAACTTTCACATTTATAATATTAGTAAGATTGTATGCGTTACTACAACTTTCATGACAACCCAAACGCATTGTCAACTAAAATAAGTTTAAAATCACTCTACGATCATCCCGCTGTTGGCTGATATTTGAATGTTCACGAATCATTGACTCTCTTGGCAGTCTAGTGCAGGGGTAGTGAACCTTTACATACTAACGTGCCATTTTTCTAAAAAATCCATCCAATCCATTTTTTTAAAACGATCATAGTCTCTATGTCAAACCACACCACGTCATGCGATAAGGTCCCAATATGTAATTTTTAATTGTTAGGTTACTTTGTAATTGTTAGATAGATTCCTTAGCGTAGATATTAATTCGTGTTCGCTTTTTGTATAGTAACTATTTTACACTTTTTCGTAGTACAATGAATTTTATGTTCAGCGACGTGCTTAAAACACTGTATCGAGTGCTATTTATTGTGTTCGTATCATTGGTTCTCCACTCGTGATCTAGTGAAATTCAATCCTTTATTTTTTTAACATAATTAAACCAGCGCTTGACCACGATTCCACCTAACCTAAGTGAAGACGCGGCCGAAGGATAGAGCGCGCTAGCTATAACTTTGTGTGCTTTATACATCTCACTTTGATCCTAACTCACAACTTGAAAACGATTTTAGGTAAATAATTAAAAATCAAAAGATAATTTAGAAGTCAAAGTCGATTGAATTGTTTATACTACAGCTGGTAGATTACCTCCTCCTCCCTGAAAAATGGTGCTAGTGATGAACGTAAAAATATTACATGCAATGTAAAAATATACGAGTAAATAAATGCCTGATATGTTAAAGGATAATAAGAGAACTGTTAAAGCAACCTTTAGGGCTTGTTCAAGTTGACTAGCGGGCGCGTTGGCGGGCGCGATTATACAAAATATGCAACATTTGATGTAATATCCAAGTGTTTACGTACGAAACTCACATGCGGACAATCTCGCGACAGACACGCTGGCGAAAATATCTGTCTTGATATGTTTGTGTGTTTTCATGTCGAAGTAGCGGAGCGCTCGATTTATTCGCGACGTCAGTTAGGTTTATCCAGTTTGAACTTGTTATTAGAAACGATCATTTTTTAATAAGATTGTCGTCCATCTCTGCGTCATTATCCTCTGACAAATCGTGACAGTCGCGGAAACACCTTTCGACCAATGTGAATATAAGCTCGACATATCTACCACGCCCGTCTCCGCGCCCGCTCCATCAGACTGTTTAACGTGAACAAGCCCTTAATCGCATATTTGATTCATTCGAATGAAAGTCATTTTACTGCAACTTTATATAGAGAAAATATGAAAAATAAAATACCAACAAACTCGCAGGATATGTCTGGTACTACGTTATTTGCATGACAAGATTAATATCTCTTGAATTTCACGTTCCGAATAAAAAGTTTTTAAAACTCGTGAAAATAATTACAGCGAGATCTCGCAGAGATGTATAAAGCAACAGTTTTAATCAGTGGTCCGGTTCACTTTAAGAAACATTCATTTGCAAAGTCCTGCTTTGACTAGCACAGTCAAAGGATTTTTCTACATTACATTATGTCAATATTTTATTTAGTGTCTATGTTGACTCCAACACTTTGTCAACATCGTATATGAGCGTTTATAAATGCTAACCGTCATGTAAGTTAAAACCTGTTGCAGGCGAAAAGATTTTTTAATTAAAAAAATATCAACAAAGATTTATTAAGTTTCTTTTTCCGAATTTTCAAAAGTAGTAAAATGTTGATATTGCTTGGAAGTTTCGATTTAAAGCTCGAGTATTTACACACGGATTTGGCTACATTATTGAATCAGTGAGGTAGTCGACTGTGAAATTCGTGTAAGCGTACTCGTGTTACAGTGTAGTCATTAATGCAAACTCGATAACATGCAGCGTGCCGCAGATCGAATAACGTTCGTTTGTTTTTAACATTTTTTGTAGTCTGTACCTCCCTACTCGCTGAAACTAAAATTTCCATCGCCCCTATGGCCCGCGGCAAAATTTTCCATTGCAGCTTTTAGATAATTAAGCTCAAAACCAAACACACTTCTTTATACAGAGGTATTTGTATATTATATGTTACTGGTTTACCGTGTTAACCGCTTGTGTGTAATTAGCAAATTGTTTTACCAAGAAATTTTGACCCTTTTGTTACGATGGTACTTCATTGACGGTCATTTAATGCAGCCCATAAGAATCGCGCACAGACGAGCAGCAGTGTCAATTCAACTAATAATGAAACGTGAATGAATTCGTTTGTATGCAATTTAATGAGTCTCTACAATTTTCTGGGCAAAGTGAAATTGGTCGGTGAACATGAATTTACCGGTGACATATATGTATATGTTTTATTAGCGAGTCGATCGCTTAAGCTAAGGAGGTGTGTTTATATTGATACTTCCCGAGGAGCGCCTTGCCAATCTGCTAAGTGACGGTAGTCGCCTATATCCGGTAACTGGGCATTATTTAGTTTTTGGGTGTCCCTAAGTCGATTGCTTGAATATGTGTCACACGTAAACATATGTATATTACATACTCATGTTCTTAATAAAGCTATTTTATTAACCAATTAGCTTTCGCCCGCGACTCCGTCCGCGTGGAATAAAAATCTTCATCTATAGCAAATTTCATCGAAATCCGTTCAGCCGTTTTGGCTACAAACTCTAATAAACATCAATCCTTTCGCATTTATAATATTAGTATTAGTGTGATTGTTCAAAATTAGTAGATAAATCTTACTTCTTACTAATATTATAAATGCGAAAGTTGTTATATTGTATAAATGCGGATGGATGGATGGATGGATAGATAGATGGATGGATGGATGAATGGATGTTTGTTAGCGTTTGTAGCCTTAACGGCTGAACGGATCTCTATAAAATTTGGCAGAGGTTTAGAGCATAGTCTGGAAGAACACATAGGCTACTTTTTATCCCGGGAATAGTTACGGTTCCCGTGGGATTCATTAATTTAGTTTTTTAATGTTTACTTGATCATTCTGCAACGGTTCAATATATCTTATTGAAATTTGGCACAGATATAAAACAAAGTCTGGAGTACACATGGGATAAGTTTCATCCCCGAGAAATGTCCGGTTCCCGAGGGATACGTAACTTTTTGTAATTTATATAGTTTGTTTTCTAATACTACGCGGACGAAGTCGCGGGCAACAGCTCGTATTTTTCATATGTTAACAAAAGGTAATGTGTTTCTTAGAAACTGTTTAAGTGATATTGAACTTGTAAAATATTCTGTCACAGAGAATATTCGGAGATGTTGGTATTGTCTTGGGAAGCCTTATGAATTTCGCCATTACCTTTATCAAAGTTGATATTATTTTACATTTATGAGAATAATAGACTCGGAAATAATATGAAATATTATATTTGATAGACATTATTGTCAGACGTCAAATTATATTGTTTTGTAAGAGAAACAATATATGAGACATTGTTTGCGTTACTTGTTATTATGTTTGATATCATAAAAATATTATCTATCTAAGAATAATGTTGTTTCCATTTTATATAAGAGTAATGTATGTTTCAAAAGATAGTAATTTTTAAAAACTGCGATCGATAATTTAGGGACATTCTAGAAAGTACGATCTTGATACATTTCGGAAGCTTGTCAGGCCCTTGATAAAATGTGAAACAAAATAGTCCTATCAAAAACTGAATACTGAATACAATATAAAATCCATTTTATAGACTATTTTCCCGATGTTTGCCCAAAGCTATTAATTGTATTAAAACTGAATACGTCGTGAATGCGGTGTAACAAACGAGTCTGTTGTTGACATTTTTTCCATTCAAATTTGATGGAGTGAAATTTCAAAAAGTTTGAATCGGACTATTCGACAGTCACAGAATCCAGCGAAATATTGTCGAAATATTAAAATGTAAACACGTTTTCCTCCAATATGAGTCTGTGCAGATATTTTATTATAAAAACGCTTTGTAGTTCTAATAATAAATGTTTTTGCCTTTATTCCTAATCTAGAGTTTTTATTAAAAGAAAACATGGAATTGCTAATTTATTTTTCGATCTTTAGTGAGCGGAGAGTGAGATTTCTATATTAGTTGACTTTTTATAAAACGAATTGCTTGATGAAAAACTTAACGTTGGCAATTTATTTATTTTCCATATTTCCAATATTTATGCATAAATTGAAAATGTAATAAGCATCTAATTAGCTCGTATTTTCTTTGAAGTGGACTTTTCCAGGATATCGTTTGTGAAAGTTCATATAAAATATTGCGTTATCATTCCTCGTAAAGGTACAAATGAAATGGTCTTGTTTTATTTTGTAATAATTTAATTGGATTGGATATAACTTTCAAGAAATACAATATTGATGATTCTATATTTCTAGGTTTCGAGTATTATTTGTGTATAATAGTTATTGTTGTTTATCAGGGAATACCCGTGTGACCATTACACGGCCATCATCAACGTAACGCTGATGTGCACCGGATGCCCTCGGGCGCCGGTTCACGAGAGCGCCTTGCAGTTGTTGCAACTCCTTGACAAACGTTTCTTCGGTAGCGTGAGCCCCATGGCGACGGACGACGACGGTGAGTGTCCCCCCGACTCTCAGCCCAAAGCAATTCATGCACCTCATGTAACTCAGACAAACGTTTTCATTCGCATATCCGATTCCATCAATACATTGCAAGCGATTCTCATAATCGGAGTTAATTTGTTATACATTAAAAGTGAAAGCGTATACTATTACTATTTATTATTAGTTTTAAAATTGACATATTTTATTTCAATGTTTTATAGCGAAATATAGTCTTGATGAGATACATTTTTTGCAGTTACATTCTGTCCTCCTATCTTTTTATTTTTAATTCTGTCTTGTATTCTGTTTATATTAGTGTCAAATTGATAGATTAATAGATTTACTACCTATAAATGCTTTTGCATGTTAAATTTAAAGGCCTGCATGCTATATTCTTGTTTTTTATTTAATCGCAAACTATTTTTTACTGTAAATTAATAATTTTCCCGGGCAAATTATAATATTAGACGTTTGAATGAAAACATTTGTTGCTCTGTCTTAAAAGGTTTTAAACATTGTAATATTTTAATCATTGTAACATATGTAAATATACTTTAAGAATAACATTCATTGTAACTTTGCTAACAGAAATTGTAGTATTGTTATTTATTTTATGTCCTATAACAGCATAAAAAGTGACTAGTTTGAGCCTTTATTACTTTTGTATTGTGTAATACAGTTTATTAAATAAATTGAAAGACATCTGAACGGCTTATCTCAAGCCTGTAAATGACGTCAAGGTATGTATAAAAGTGGTTCAAAATAAATCAAGCTTAAACAATTTCTTACCCATCTGTTCAACTTTTTAGTATAATTTTTTTTTTTAAATGATTGTTATCGCATTATTGTACACATTTATCTAAACATTATTACCTAAGCTATATTTGTACTTAAATAAATATGAATGTAGTCTATAAGTTAAATTATTTTCATTAATTCTTATATCGTGGTGATTTTTAGGATGATTGATTTATTATTAAATTTCGCAATGAAGTAAACTTTTTTGTTATTAACAAAAAAAAAAAAACAAAAATACGTCAACCACTCAAGGATATAAGCACAGCATTACCTTCGTCAGTCTTAATAAAGTTAAAGAACATTGAATTCTTTTATATTCCTCTTCCTAATTTCCATAAACACGTGATAACACAGTGATAGCGTATACAGACGCTGTTCTTAGAAATTTTTATGACACTGTCTTTCAACGTCTGGAAAATTGAAACGAAAACTGACACAATGCTCTAGAGTTATCTCTGTATTTTATTTAAAATTCCCGTTTGTGAAGTAAATGTTTGAATCTCTCAACTTTTCCTTGGTTTATATGTACTATATACAGCTTACTGTTGGGTCGTAATTTATATATTGCACTTTTTTGTACATACTTAATAGTATTTAAAACGATTTAATATAAAACTTCTGTCATTTTGTTTGCTCTTTCATTTGAAGTGCCGGGAACAAATGTGAATTATTTAGAATATTGATGTTTCATGGTAAGGTTGCTTTAAATACTTGAACTCTACTGAAATTCCAAACCCCGCTACGTAAATTACACTATGCTACGTGAAACTTAATTGCTTATAGTTATTTATATCGATGTCTATAAATTAATCAAACGTAAATATCGAATACAATCAGCTAAAATACATTTCCACACAAAATAAACACAAAAATCCTATTTTGAACAAGACAATTTTTCTATACTTTGTTATATATGATCAAAAAAACAGACCAAAATGTTCAATATCAATTAATTTTTATGCAAGTAAAATGGAATGTCTGTCAGTATTAGGCATGTGTCAAAGGTTAAAGTTTACGTCGACCTGTGCTCGACAATCGAAAAGCGTCAAAAATAAAATGAACGCACACAAAATGTTCGGCGCAAATCGCTGCGCTCCGTGAGATTGACAATTTAAAATTGTTACGTTCGCTATTGAATTTATGTTTACACTATTCTCTAGTCGCAGAACGTACAATAATCGTATTAAAATATTTGAATCTAAATCTTATATGTGCATTTTGTATTTATATTGTTGAATCAATATGACTAAAGAGCATTTTATTTAAATAACATTGAAGAATGAGGGTCAGTGCACCGGGATTTTGTCGTCCATATTGATCTCTCCCTCTCACCTCAGTCGCCCCTTAATCATATCACCCTTCACGCAATCCATTCAATAGTTAGATATGAATTAATTTACTTATGTTACAATACGTCACGTCTCTACCATACGACAACAATGTAAGCCTGTTAGCATGTGTTCAACAATCGATTCCAATTACCGACGCAGGTGTCCTAATTGATACAAGTCGGGAACATTGTCCTCACTACGTATAGATTGCTGCACATGTAATAAACAATTTCCAGTTATTAACAACGTCATTGTACTCGTATAATATAATTATCACGCATTATGTTGTAACAAGGTAATATGTTAATACAAGCTGTCGCCCGCAAACTTCGTTAGCGCAAATTTGGAGTACCAGTTACGCCATTTTGACACCGCGGAATTTAAAAAAAGCCCATAATATGCCCGATTGTGTCAGCTACCCTTTAGTAAAAGTTTCATCGAAATCGGCCCAGCCGTTTCGGAGATTACCCGGAAGAAACGCGGCTTGCGGACAGACAGACAGATAGGCTGACAATTTTTTTAAATGCTATTTTCGTTATGAGCAACGCAAATATATCGTCTTCCCGGAATCTGGAATATTTCTTATGATATTACAAACAGACATTCCAATTTTATTACATGTATAGATTATGACTACGATAATTTCGCTTACTCAATCATTTGCTGTGACCAGATAAAAAAAAATTGTGAAAACATAGTGAAGTTATTAATATGCAATTTACATGTTAGATTGTATTTAAGGTTTTAAGTTTAGAAATAAAATTTGAAATAACCATGATAATAAAATATAATTTTGTGTAATATACTTATTTGAGTTATTTAATTTACGAGTAAACCCCATATTGATTGAAATTATTTTGGACGTTAGCCTTGTTTTATCGATGACTGTAAAGAGGTGATCTAAAAACGTCAAAGTGTAACATTAAATACATGATATGGGCTATATAAACTAAAATGCATAAAGTATAGTGCATTTTAGTTTATTGTAGCCGCGAGTTTCCACTCTTTACAAGCGAAACATTCCCGCTAAAAGACATCCATCATTCTCTCTGTAATAACTGAACTAACAATATTTCTATGTGTAAAAAATACAGTGGAAATGAATTAAAGAAATTTGTGCAATTATGTAAAACACCTAAACATCATTCGTTCATCCAGTTTAAAAGCAAAAGTTCTTGTTTCGAAATCGATTTGCTACATTGTAGACACCACGTAACTATCTAATTTTAGAATTTCATTTTATTACGACGAAAAGGTAACAAGGTTGTCGTAGACTTTCGTTGTTCGTAGACACGTAGACACTCGTAGACATCAGCTACATCGTGCTATTTTAAATTCTTACCAGTTTTAAATGGATATTTTCGTTACAGACAACCCTGTGATTATCGATTTAAGAATTATCGGGCAACCAATTTTGTTGGACATATATAGCAATCCCTTTTAGTTCTTAGAATCCCAGAACTATACAATTTAAAATGAAGCGTCATTATCTTTGCTTCGAGGGTGTTTCAATCCTAACTTCGATACAGTAAACCCCGATACAAAGCGCTGGCCTATGACGCCTATTGCCTACCCCCATATAGTGCCCAAATCACTCTTATAAGAGGCGAACATTCCCACAACTTTTTAAAGATCTCTCCTATAACGTAATTTATGGCTGCCTAGTAAAACATGTTATACGGGGGTTTCCTACAACACGCTATATTTCCAACAATTTTTAAAAGAACTCTTCTATAATGCAATTTATGGCTGTCTTGTAAATGATGTTATACGGGGGATTCCCGTACGGGGATTTCGTTTTTTTTTTTTGTAATGAAGCAGTTCGGTCAATGTACTATCTAGTAATATTGTCGTTTTTCTAATTTTACTCATAACGAAATGTGGACAGAAATTATATACCTACCGTATACTTACAAAAAAGCTCAGCAAAAGCAGTTGTTTGCCTGTAGTAAACCTAAATACAACACAGTGCCATTCTTGTTTTAGTCTATGGTAACAAAGAAGTTATTGACAAATGTAATCTATGAAAACCATTTATTTACCAGGGTCTATGTGTGCACTATGTAGCGATAACGCAAAGACCATTAAAAGACTTTGTTAATTTTGGAAATTTTCATATAATTTTGACTACAAAAAAAAAACATGGTAAAAATTTGACCGCTCCGAGATATACGATTATAATGACAGAAAATACTTAGTAATTAGTTTTCACAGTAACGCTGAAAGTAATGTAAACTAAACATAGTGACACAATTCCTAAATTTACATAACAATACAGTAATGTAAGGCATGGAAAACCTTTCGACTCAAGCCAAAGATTATAAAAGTTACAACTTATTTTTTGACAATTTCCAAAATTGATTTTTAAGTGTTTTTTCATAGCAATTATTAAATACATCTACCCTATTGACGTAATTTCCATAATTTCATTGCAACACAAATCGGGTTCAGCTAATTAATAAAACTAACGGCGGAATACTAAAACGACATTTATATATATACAAGCGTAATACAGCTATGTATATAATATGCATACCGTCAAATTCCAATAAAATATTGACGCCTGTAATATTGTTAGCGACGCTTACGACGCTACGTGCTGGACTATCGTTTCAGTATCCGGCTGTAAGTGTCATAGCGGAATATGTAACTTCTAACGTATCGCCACTTCTTCGTTACACCACAAAAGCTTGTTTCTAAACGCGTAGCACTATCGTAGCAAGTATAACATGTTTCTCTAAATTCTTACAATAGCTAAATTTAAAAATCATTTTTTAAAAAAGTTTTTAAATTAAAATTACATTGATAGACCCAAAATCCGAAATGAAAGCATACAAGTACCAATGCTAGACCATTCGTGTGGAATTAATTTCATTTCTCC